CTCGTCTCTGCTAACTGTAATATTGAGCTTCTTTGGCTTCTTGTTTCCAGAACGAGTCCAATAATTTATCACATCCAAGAATTTAGCCAAATAAGAGCTCCATCCCTTAATAATATCTCTTAATCAGCCAATGATATGTAATTTATCATGCTGTCATATACTATTGCCTTAAGGGATGGGATCTGAAGCTCGACGAGAAGCCAATGGTTACGTTCCAAAACAGGGATAAACACCTGCAATCATAAGTAATAATTCATTCATTTGCGCACTTATTTATGAATACCTTTAAACTCAATCTAAAATAAACACTAACCTTATCGACCTCCCACCATGCAGGATAAAGTTTAGCTTGTCCATTGCCCAACGCAAATGATTCATCTCGTTGATTCTTCAAGTGAACGGCGTTAAAAGACGTCGGCATAATTGTATATCGTGTATTTCTTTTATTTTCCTTAAGTTTCCTAATTATTAGAAGACGTGACACCCACGCATCGATATGCTGTTTTACAAAAAAGACATATATTAGTAACTTACATAAATTTACAAAAAATAATCAAATTAAAATATAAGAAAATATAAGACTTACCCCTCCATCGAAATAGCCATTGTCTTCGACCCCTAATAATACGCCCCACCAAGACCGATCAAGCAACAAATAGATATCATCATTGAGCTTGCATATGTCAGTGAAACACCCCTGGCTTCACTCATGTAGATAAAAATCAACTGCGGTCTTAGCCCAAAGGGTGTTATCCAGAATTGTGTCCGATAGTTGTTCCCTCTCCACTTCAGATACCGGTATGGTACTGGCCGGTAACTCATACGAGAGCCAACTTGAATCCATCATGTCCGGCACGTCAGAGGGTTTCTCAAGAATCCTACATATGATGCCATGTGAATCGGGCTCTTGAATGGTGGGAGGGACCTCTTCAACGATGACAGTGGCCTCTTGAACGGTGGGAGGGGACTCTCGAGGAATGATAGGGGCCTCTTCAATGATAGGAGTGGACTCTTGAGGGATGACAGTGGCCTCTTGAACGGTGGGGGGACTCTCGAGGAATGATAGGGGCCTCTTCAACGATAGGAGTGGACTCTTGAGGGATGACAGGCGAGTCGGGCTTCTTCTTGCGGTGTCTTCACACTATTGGGGTATACTGAGACTTAATAGCACGTGCACGCCGTCTGATGCGTGAACTATGTCGTGCAAGAAAAACCCGACGTAAAGCATCCACCTTATCGGTCCGCTAAATAATTAAATACAAATATCAGTAAATAAACGGACATGATATTTAAACAGTGAAAACAAAGACAAATATATTTCAAAACTTCAACCAAAAGACAAAACAAAGACAAATACTAAATTCACAGTGTTAAAGAATACACAGTTTAGCAAATTGGCAGCAACCGAATAAATTTACTTCAACCAAAAGACAAAACAAAAGACAAATACTAACTTCACAGTGTTAATAAACAGTTTAGCAGTATTGGCAGCAACCGAATAAATTTACTAAGCAATCTAAGTGAAATGGTTAATTTAAGTGAAATTACGAGTAAATTTATCATCAAGTTAAATATAGAAAATCTTAAACTTACCTCGTTGCGTAGAGTATGAACCTCATTCTACAACGATACTACCATCTCACTTAGAGCGTCAACCTCACCACGTAAAGTAGACACCTCCACACGCCATGCACCATCGTTATCGCGTAGAGTACCGATCTCCTCACGCAAGGCATTGACCTCCACACGCCATGCACCATCGTTATCGCGTAGAGTACCGATCTCCTCACGCAAGGCATTGACCTCATCACGTAACTCCCTTGACTCATCCCGTGGAGGTGGAGAACAGGGAGATAGAAGTCATGGCATCTTTCCCGGTCGCCTATCATGAGGTATGGTGGAGAAGAGGCTCGATGATGTGACGGGATAGGTGATGGCTCTCGTTGTAGAGGTGTATAGTCGGGTCGATCAGGTGATGGCTCTGGGTGAGGTGATGGCTCTCGAAGTGGAGGAAGTGGATGCTGCTCATCATTCGTGCCATCAAGAAACGCTGACTAGCTTGCCACCAATCATGGCAAGCTCATCCTCCGTGGGTGTCAGTCTCATTAATGGAATGTTGGCCTCCTAAAAATATAAAACTCAAACAAAGTTAAACGTCTACTATTAATAACTTGTTTATATATGATAGTATTTGTGTTAACTTACATTATTTATTGTCGCATATGGTATTAAGTCTTCCCAATCCAACAGACGTTTCCTCTTCCAGGAAATAGCCCTGGGAATATCATTTGAAGTTTTTATTGCATATATCTTCATGGCGGGAAAGGCCTCGAATATCCAAATCTACAAACAATATAATAAAAAACATTAGTAATTGTTAAATAATTAATTATAATTTTGAAAACATTATATAGAAATTCTTACCTTGAAGGCCCAAACAAAGCCTGACAAAGTGTATTTCGACCCATCGCCCCGTAAACTTTTGCGGTCATCAAAGGCAGACGACAACTTAGTCCAGGTAGCTTTCCATATATACGAACCCCACGGAAACAGATTCCATGCATTTAGGTCCTCTACCAATATATTAGCTCCTGAGGAATAGGTTGTTTGGCCTCTCTGCCTAAAAGCCGGCATACAAAGTAGTAGAAGGCATACTCGGACAACATCGACGTCATTCATCCGAGTAAAACCATCTTTCTTATTAAACAATTTCTTCATATCGTCGACGTGTAAGTTCGGCTTCTCTATTGACTCATCAGGAAAAACCCTGGATAACCATGATGGGCGGGTGATATGACGAGTGTACCGGCCTACATCATCGTGTCCGAATCGTAGACCAGTGATTAAGCAGAACTCCTTCCGCCCAAAACAATTATACGCCAGTGGAAAATGAAACCATATCTCTTCCTCACCACGTTGTATACTGTCGGGTAGATCTCTAGTCATGGTCTGAAGCCACAAATGGGTCAAATTAGCATCTCCACCTGGATGCTGTACTCTCAGCCATAGCCCGAAGCAGGTTTCCTCAAACAATTTTCTTTGTGCAGGTGAAAGCTTCGAAGCAATTGTAGTGGCTATGCTAACTTTATTCCTTAATGTCAATGAAGCCGAAAAAAATTTCTACAAAACATAAACATACAAAGTTAGATATACCAAAAACTACACTGTCAAGATATACCAAAAACAATAAACATAAATAGTAGTTTATTCTTGAAACTAAAATTTACAACACTGTTTTGTCTTTTGGTTGAAATGAAAATCGCAACGAGATAATGAGAATCGCAACGCGAAATGAAAATCGCAACGCGAAATGAAAATCGCAACGAGAGAATCGCAACGCGAAATAAAAATCGCAATGCGATTTTGGTTTCGCGTTGCGTTTTTTATTTCGCGTTGCGATAGTTATTTCCGCGTTGCGATTTTCATTCTCGAAACTATTATTCTTCTGCATTACTTCAACCAAAAGACAAAACAAAGACAAATACTAACTTCACAGGCTAAACAGTTTAGTAGTATTGGCAGCAATCGAATGAATTTAATAAGAAATCTAAGTGAAATGGTTAATCTATTATTGAAATTACCAGTAAACTTATCATCAATCTCAATATGAAAAACCTAAAATAATGCAAAAAATTTCAAAATAAAAATATAAAAACTAACCCTCGGAGGTTGATTTTCCATTTCTGAATGATTGTGAGGGATTTTTGACTGTAAATGGTTGTGAGGGATTTCGCCGGCGATGGGGACGGAAATCTTCGGAGATGGGGACGGATTTCGCCGTAGAGAGTGAGAGATGGAGATGGGACTGAGTGTTGTGATTTTGGGTTTGAGGTTATGAGTTGCGATTACTATGGACAGTTCAGTTTCCGATTTATTAAGAAAAAATTCGTGTTTGTAATTTGAAAAAAAAATACGCGTTAATACGAATGGCGCTATGTAAATCGCGTTGCGAAAGTCAGAATCGCGTTGCGAAAGTCAGTATCTCGTTGCGATTTTGTATTATCGCATTACGATAGTAAGTATCGCATTGCGATAGTCAGTATCGCATTGCGATTTTCCCAATTCGCGTTGCGATTTACTTATTCGCATTGCGAATTGGGAAAATCGCAACGACACTGTAGATCATCGCAACGCGATTTCCAACTATCGCAACGCGAAATGCAACGCGAATTTGCGATAATGGAGATCGCATTGCGAATTAGCGATCGCATTGCGATTTTGTTGGTCATTTTGGCAAATCCGGAAAAAGATTGTTAAAATCGTATATTATAAGGCATTTTTGGTCACTGAGGCGATTTTTCTCTTTAATAAAATGGTAAAATTTTATTTTAACCCTTGCACTTCATATAAAATTCTAATAATGGATTTTTTTTGTAAATCTAAAATAGTTTAAGGATAAATTTATAATTTAACCTTCGTAGAATTTTTATTATTCAACGACAGAATAAGGATAATTTTGAAAAAAAATAAGAGCAATTTTAGTCAAAAACATCAGTAATCCAACAATACCTAAATGAATGAGTAATCACATTCCCGGTAATATATCCCAAAATATTCATTGTTGATAATAAAAAATTACCAAAAATAAGATTACCGGCCAACCAAACGGTAGAATAAGAATTTCATACCACGATAATATCTTATGCCATGAACCAAATGCCCTAAAGGAACAAAACAAGAGACATAGTCTCAGCGTCTTTTAGAAGATATTGTCCAACATCTTCAAACAAATACTATGACAATTACATTATATCAAAAAAACAATTTTGAAGAAACATAATCCAAATCAATTATTTGATTAATTTGAAATGTTTGGTGTAGAGGACCTCAAAGGTTGAGTTGAGATGGGGAAAATTTAGTTTTTTTAATTATCGATATTTGTTCTATTAATTAACTATTTTAGGTTGGATTTTACAAAAGTAAAATGATTTTTTCAATTCGTAAATATCAAAATTATAACTTACCTTTCGGATCGGATTTGTTGTTTGTGTAGGCACATATAAAAATAACACAAATCCGATTAAAACAAGAGAATAACATTTCCTTCCTCGAATATCGTCTAAGCAAATCATATACACAATAACAAAAAAAATAACAAAAAACAAAGACAATTAACGTGGAAAAATCAGAAACACAAACAATAAAACAACCAAATCCCCGAACCAATTTTACAAAATCAAACTAAATGGAATTAGGGGGGAACCCTATCTATATATCCCCCCAAAAAAAACCTAAATAAAAGTTAAGCCAGTGAACTAAAGCCGCCTCCTTTCATCATTTGCTTGAACTCCATGAAATTAACCCTACCATCACCGTCTACATCTACTTTCCTTATCATCCTCTTGCAATCTTCCATCGCTTTCCCTTGTTTAAGTCCCAGTGATTCCAAAGCCCACCTCAATTCATCAACGGAAATGTAACCGTCTCCGTTTTTATCAAAAACCTTGAAAGCTTCCTTCATATCTTCTTCTTCTTCTTCCTTGTTATCCATAATCGATCGATACAACTCGCTGAACTCATCCATGTCGATACACATATCGCCGTTGACATCGATCCGCTCAATCATAAGTGTCAATTCACTGTCGGGGATAAAGATGCCCATATTCTCCAACGAATCGTTCAATTCTTTCTTCGTGATCTTCCCGTCCCCGTTCCTGTCGAACACCTGGAAAATCTTCCTCAACTCCATCGCGTCCATCAACGCAGAAACGAAGATTGTATAGCAAGAAAATCGCAAAGAAAATTGATGGAATTGAAAGGAAAAAATTTAGGAGAAAATTTAGTTGTAAATTTGGAAGAGGAGTGACACCCTTTAAAATAGGGTGGTTGCTCATGACATTAATTAATATAATAATAAGGTTTCAAAAACGGGAATTAAATAATTGGACCGTTGATAACGGATCTTAGGAAAAAAAAGGAAAGGAGAATCTAGGAGAACGCGCCAACGATAAAGGTGTGGCGACTGATGATTTGTGACCGTTGGATTTATGATGATTGTGTGTGTTTTCTAAAATTCCTCAACTGCCGTTTTGACGTGGTAGGTGACGTCGACAACGTGGCCGTTTTTTTAGGGTCGGATTCTGATTTTTCTCTTTCAAAAATCAAAACGACTAGAATTAGGACGTCCAATTTAGGTTTGGAAATTGGATTTTCACTAATACTGTAATACAGGTGAATTATGCTGTGCTTCCAGAATCCTTTATACTTTGGGTAGTTCCGGTAACGAAATTTAGTGATAGAATTTGGGGATCAATTTAAGATTTTAAAAAGTTTAGATGTTTAAATTAAGATTTTTAAATTTTTTGAAGGATTTAGTTTGTATTTTCCCAAAAATAGGGTCTAACTACAACTTTTGAAATTTTAGAGGCTTAATGAGTACTTTTATAAGGGGTTTAATTAAGAGCATTAAAAAATTAAAATTTAATTTGAATTTCTAAAAATTTCGAGAGACCAAATTGAATTTCTTAAAAATTATAACAGTCAAAATTAGAATTTTTTAAATTTGGGGGCATTCCCCCTACTCTAGTTTGTGTTTAGCCCCATAGTAATCCTATTGTGCAATTTAAAGTTAAAAAATAATAATTTTGAGGCATAACTGAAAATGGATAAAAATCATAATATTTTTTAAGTTGAATGCAACTTAAAATGTTATATTTTTATTAATATTTTTCGATTGAATTTAAAATGTTACGAAGAAAATAATATTTTCGGTTGCGCTTAATATCTTCGTTTTTAAATCTTAAATTTGATTTTCGCTCATTAAACTTTCCTTTATTTTCTCGTTCTCATTCAGGATTTAGGGTTAACCTCAAGGATTGCGAGACTATCAAGTTGTAATTTTGTTGAATAGAAATGAATATTATTGGCATAAATTAGGTTATAATTAGGCGTGGCAAAAGCCAGAGATGTGAATAATTGAAGATTCCCCACAAATTGTGTAATGGGTATAGTGTTAAGGTTTAGGAGATTGAAATTTATGAATTAATTGGCAGTTGGCTACCAGAACTGAAGGCCCTTTACCCCCTACTTCTCCCACCACTTCTATGCTCACTCACTGCTGCCAGCTCGTAATGTCACTTGTATACACAAAATTAATTTAAATTTATTAAATATTTAAGAATAATTGTATTAGTTTATTGAATTGAATATGATCTTATACCAACAATCACGTGATCTGGTGAGATGAGACACTAGATCCCTTAAGTAAGATCGGAAGTTCGAATCTTGATGTTAGCGAATGAAGCAAATTGGATTGGGAGACTCGTTATTGCCTCTGCAATACCCTATTCGAATTAGTCGATTAATAAATCAAAAACCAGTAATTATACCAAAAGCATTAAATATGATCTTATGAAATTTATTTTACAAACTAAATAAATGAAACTCAAATTTATTATGAGATAATGTAAATTGTGCAAGTTGTTTTACATGATTATAAAAGGTTTAATTGAAAAGAAAGTCTCCTAATTATGTATTTTTTTTTATTTTAGTGTCTAAAGTTTTTTCTTATCAAGATAGGTGCATAATGTTTTCAACACTACCATTTTATGAGTTTGAATTAAGGATTTTATGAGTTTGAGATTTAAAAAAAATATTAAGGAATATAATAGAGAGAGATGGCATTTGCCTGACACCTCTCCACACAACTTATTGTTGGGTGGGTTTAATTGTTTTATATTCAAATTAGGAGAAAATTGAGTTCGGTGTAAAATGTTAATTTTAAAATTTAATTCAATTATTCAATTTTTAAAAATTCAAATTCAACACAAGGAAAATGTTAGAGCCCGTTTGGTTTTAGAAAATATAAGTTATTTTCATTTTCATTTTATTAGAACATAGAAAATGTTAAAAAAATGTTTAATTGTAAAATTAAAAAATGATTTCTAAAAATGAAAACAAAATTAAGTGAAAATATGAAAACATATATTTTCATTAAAATTATTTTGGAAATTTGAAAAACAAGGAAACATGATATCTAATTTTTTAACTTACACGGATTTAAATTATTCTAACAATAATTTTTTGATTTAATAGTATCTGAAACCCTTAAACTTTTTGTTTGCAAAAATAAAAACAATATGGTCCCTATATTTTTTTTGCACTCAATATAATCCTTCAATTAATTTTTTAATATTTTAATTTTGTATTATTTATATTTAATGTATTGGATATCTTAATAATTGTTTATATTTTTAATTTAAACAATTTTTATTTTAAAATAAATAAATAAGTTCTCAAGATTTCTAAAAAAATCAATTATGCCATCAAACTTAGCTGAAAAAAATTAATTAAGCACATCTATCACATCATCATATATTGTATACTGCTACAACAGTATTGTAAACTGGCACACCAATATTATAGATTGTCATGTAAGTTTGTGAACTATTATATAAGTGTTGTGACAGTCAACGTTTGATTCCGTTCTTCAAAAGGTTAAATTAATTTTTTCTGTACAAAAAAGGTTCAGGAGCTACACTAATTATCTTTTTCCAAAAGTTTGAGGGCCTCAATTATCATTAAATATATTTTTATTTTAATGACACTTTTGTGTGCACTTACTTATAATAATATTTTTTTTATATTTTTAAAATTTAATTGGTTTCCTAGATACAATAACATTATGTTCTTATTATAAACTAAAATAAATTTTGTGTTATGGAACTTCGCATCAACTTTATTATTTTATAGTTGCATAACTCACATGTTAAATTAATATAATGATTTTTTTAATAATTATAGTTTAATTTATTTTTAATAACTATTTATTTCTTTCTTTTTTTTAAAAAAAATAAGATACTAAATATATTTTTACTATTTTATTTTTGGATTCAAGTTTCCATTTATATTAACCAAACCTGTTTTGTAATTTTTTAAAAATTGAAAATGAAAACTATTTTCTGAAAAAAAAACAGAAAATAAAAATAAAAATATTTTTTAAAACCAAAACGACCCTTAATTTTTTAAAATTGATTTAATTATATTTGATTAAATTTTTGTCTATTAAGAATAAAAATCAATTCCCATGAGCTGAAGATCTGATTGAAATTCTCTGTTTTAGTTAAACATGTCCAATTACGCTAATGAATTATTTAAACTAAATATTAAAATATTTGAATTTAACTTAATTATTTCAGCTACTGAAACTCGACATAACATTTATACAAAATAATTTTAAATATTTTTAGTGTAAAATAAGTATTTCTTTTAAATAATGGAAGGGCTTAAAGTCATCTTTCAAAAGGAACTAAGAAAAAGGGGCATTCCGAGAATTGAACTCGGGACCTCTCTCGCACCCTAAGCGAGAATCATACCACTCCTTGTTGTCGACTGGTTTCAGAGGATAATATTAATTCTAATTACAAAATGACTCCATGGAAAGATTTGTATGATTAGACCAACATTTTGTATCTGAGTTTCATTTCAAGCTTTTAATTCCATGCTTATAAGCTGATCATGAAAATACAAATCCATATTATATGAAAGATAATAAGTCCATAACAACAACAAAAAAAACACGCAACAAACATTCATCAGATCGGTTTCGGATTCGATATCCGAACCACTCTCTTATCCTCAGACTGCAGTTGCTTTCCATCTCATATCATACTATCTGCTCTTGCAGGCAATCTTTTGAAGAAGTTTTGGGGCAACGAAGGAATGTTGATTCGGAATCGAGGATGTCTCATCGCGAAAAAACCGAATCCAAGTGCGAATAAGCGACAAGGAACAAGATGGAATGTTACACAAGCGATTACACAAAAGGCCATGAACATTGAAGTAGCTCTGGGATCTCGCCAACTTAGCATAGAATTAAGCCTCTCAGCTTGAGTTGCCAAGTCTCCTATTATTGTCATCATCCTCCCTGCAATACTTCTCAATCGGTCATACCTCTTTTTAAGAACTTTATCCCCTTTGGAAGTCGGAAACATATCGAACTCCTCGTCGAAATCATCGGTCTGCACAGACTCGACAAGTGACAACTTGGTATCCATGTGTGGAGGATGTCTTGGCCTTTTCCTATACTGTGAAGCTCCGTGGACGATGCACATGAGAAAAGCTAGGGGTAATATCTTATCGGGGAAGAGAATCAAGATCGAATATAGAAAGTGAACCGTCATCGTCGAGATTGGATTCTTCCATTTGCGTATCTTATCGAACGATTTCCAAGCTTCAACGAGTAGATTAAATGCAGCCAGGAGTCTCTCGAGATTAGCTCTGCCCCTTCTTAAACTCCATACATTGGAGCCAACATCCAGCATATACTCCACAACTTCTCTCCGTAACGGTGGCTCGGCACGATGCAATCTCGAGGAGAGAATATGAGTAGCTTGATGCCGCAAACTTTCGATTTGATATACGGATAACGGAAGAAGGTAATGCATTTCGGGGAACAAAGGCTGTGTATAAGACTGTAACAAATTCCATGTAGATGAGCATGTAAATCTCACTGACAATTGAATTTCACCCGTTTTCTTCACTCCATTGGGTTCCAAAACTATAAGTGGATAAGAAAGTGTATAAATCCGATCAGCATTAAGTGTAGACAGTCGGATCCTTACCTTCCCGATTCTTCGATCCTTCGAGTCTGCAGTTTTACTTCCTCCTTCCAAGTGACAGTTATCGAAAACTCCGATGGTGATAACTGTACAAGGATCATAGATATCCCATGTGTATTGCTCATTCCAATTCGGAGAAAAACTGTCGACGATCGTCCTCGTTCTAACCCACTTAGGCCCGTATTTCGCGACACAATAAGCATCGGTAGTTCCACGTCCATCTTTCGACTTCATCGGAAGCAAACCGGACGCATTCAAGATTCCGAGCTCCAGTACACCAATGGAAGGAGGCCATAACAATTTGGATGTTGCCCTGAAATCACTACTGTAATAAATGGGCTCATCTAGGACATGGTAGCCTCCATCTAAACAGATCCTCAAATGGAGCCTGCTGGCAAACCTTACTTCCAACTTGTTTCGATTAGCTGATTCCTCGAGATTATACCAATATGCCTCTACAGGTATCGGCATTAGCCTCTTCTCAACTTTCGATAAATGAACGGAGCAACTCCCGAGAACATCCTCTTTGTTATCACCCAACTTATCCACCACACTCAAGATCAATGGATCATCAAATGGTTCCGCCACGACGAACATCAGATCCTCGTTCCATGTCGGGTTTAGGCTCTTATCGGGCGAAAATCGACTCCTTAGAACCATATTCCCAAGCATAGATTTGACGTAAACTTCAGGGACCCTGTTGTTATTCATAGACACCAAATCTTGTGCTTGAATTATATTGACTCTTAGATACCAGAGCCTAGGCGAAATATACACTTTCGATCGGGTATTTGATATGCTTTCGCCGTTAACTGTCGCTGCATCGGAATGCCAAGCATCAGGGAACACTTCATCTGCTTGAGTCCCCATCCAAATAGCTAACATCAATTCCCCTCTCTCACCTTTTCTTCCATGTTCGTCCTCCAAACTATACCACTGCGGTGCAAACGGACTATCTGGTGGAACGCGACTAGGAACGTCCGGTATATCGAAACCGATTTTGCCTACAAAACTCTCTTTGTTCATCACAGTTATCTCAAAGGTCACAGCCTGGATTCGATCTTTTGCGAACGCGAAAACTTGGTTCCACTCCGGATCAGGACTATCGACGACGGTCTTCGTCGTGCCTTTGTAGTTACCAACCTTTACTTGAACAAATGGATTGCACGGTGAACCTGGTAAATCTTTGGCCCTCACCAATTTTACGTACAGAAAATGCAGTTGTTCGACGAGGTCGAATGACGAAGTAAGCTTTTCGCTACCAGAGACTCTTCCTCCGCCGATATTCGGTTTAGTTTCCTTCAATGAAAAGTCCAAGTTTGATTCAGACATTGTTCAAACTATCTGCATCAAATGTTTGATAAAATAAACTGTCACATCATTTGTAAATGTTATAAAGTAGAGCAAAAGCTGCAGAGAAAACTGAAAATTGAAAGGTAAATACTGCTTGCCTGGATTGAGGCTTGAAGAAGGAGACCAAGGTTGAAGATGGATATGAATGAAATTTACTGCCTTTGTTCAGGATTTTGAAGAGTTTAGCAGGTGAATTTTCAAGGAAAAACAGAAGGATATCAATAGAGAGTGAAATAATAAAGAATAATAATTTCTTTAATTTACCATCATTAATGTTAATTATTGGGAAATAATCTTTGATTATACTTATTACTTGATTTTGAATTTGAATTATTTATAACGTAATATGAATGATTACCATTTATGTTACGTTATTATTTCATGAATGAATTTTCACGTATATTCACATTGATAGATCCCTTGTCACCAATCTTTTTATCAATGATTCAAATCTCTCCACTCAAATTAAATTCTTATTCTTTCAAATCTATTATGTCAGTTCCAATTTTGCTTATATTGAGTATTGATTTTAGGTTTAAGATTTAGGAATTGCACATGAAATATTTGAAAGACGTAGCGTCGATGATCAGAAGGTGATCAAAGAGAAAGGGACAGGTCAGAGAGGATACTGAAGGTGAAGCTGTATAAGTGGGGTGGGCTTTGATTTAGGGTTTATGTATAACTTTTAGATTTATGGTTTTGAATATAATTTTGTATTTAATTTTTTATTTTAATCCCATGGTACATATCTTAATAAAATAACAATAAAATATCATATCATAGAAGAAGAAAAATAAGTCAAAGTGACTAAAATTAGAACAATTCAAAAGTTGAGGGATTAAAGTGAAAAATTTAAATTTTAGTGAGTAAAATAGAAGTGAGAGGATAGTTCAGTGACAAACCTATAATATACCAAAAAATAACAAAAATGATAATTTTAGTGAGGATCCCGTATAACTTGCTAATCTAAACACCAAATTACTAGATTTTGGGGACTGCCATTTTCAAATCTGCTGCAAAAAGAGCGGAAGCAGATCAGATTTTCGAAAATTTCAAACCCCCTCTCCCTCCAAGGTAAAGCTTGCTCATTTCCCACCACTTTCTTGCCCATTTTCCTCTTCTTTCTCATCTCGTAATAGAATATCCACACACCCAAAAGAAACAAGAATATTCTTTCTCCGAATATGTAGGAACCCTAGAACAAAAAAGTTTCAATCTTTGTCGTTTTGAACTTCTTTTCTTATTCTTTAAATATGCTCAGATTTCAACTCTACGCTTGCTGATTTTCTTCTTCTTCTTTTCCCCAACGGTTTCTTAGCAATCGGATTAGTTTCGGGACAAACGTAACTTTATTATTTTTTTCCGTTTTTTAAAATTGTTTTCTTTGGGGGTGCTTGCTTCTTAAGGTGAAGTAGTTTTAAGGTAAGGGGATATTTAATTTGAGGTTTAAAAAGTTGTTGTCGTGATTTGTTTCATATGCTCGACTTATACATTCTATTTGGTATTATTGGCGTTTGAGATTTAGATTTTCGCGACTATTATAGCAAGAACTTTCATTTGTTTATTGCTTTGAAGGGTTCAGAATTAACTTGTTTGCTGTTGTTCTTTATAGATTTATTTGGTCGAAAACGGATGGGAAGTAAGAAAGATAAAGATTTCTACCATAGCCTTTCAAGGAAAGAGCTTCAAAGTTTATGTAAGAAATATGGTCTACCTGCTAATAGGTCAAGTTCGGATATGGCTAGATCACTGGCCTCCTATCTAGAGGTAATTTATTAAGCTATCCCTTTCGTTGGCAACTGAGAGTTAAGAATCTGAAGCATATCATACTGCCTTTTGTCTATATGTTAGCTTAGATTGTGTTTTAGTCCCATTATGTTATGCATCTGGGCGTAAATTTTGCTGGCCTGCAAAATACAAAACATGCTCTAATATTCTTTATTCCTCACATAAATTTTTTTTATTTTTGTAAAACATGTTACTAAATTTACATGACTTTGAAGATCTTGTTTATCCCATCATAGAATATCTTTGAAAAATATGCAGAACCAGAGATTGGGTTCAATGACTATGAGGGAAAGATTGTATGAAATTCAAGAGGCTGGACTTCCATTCTCCCTGCAACTCCCTTTCAAGGATTCTGATAAAGGTATTATCTAGTTATTGTGTGCCTAAGCAGTTTCACTTAATTTTCTTTACTATGATTTCCTTACTACAGTTGACGCGCCATAGTAAGAATAACATCTGGCTGCTTCTGCAGATTTCTATGGACTCATCTCTTGTCAAACAGGCAGTTGTAATGGAGGAAATTTTTCTGAAGCTGTTAAAAGTAATGGATTGGGTTGTTGTACAGGGGATAAATTTTATCATAAGGTTTGCTTCTATTCTTGGATGTTTATGTTTTAGTTATGGATATTATTTGACACCTGATGCCACCAGATAAATCCCATATAATTCCTCACTTCATCTTCCCCATCGGTTCTCTCCTGTAGCATGTGTTAGGTTAATGCAGTTGTTCCTGCTGAAAGATATAGACCTTTTCATCTAACCAGAAGTGAGAAGATCTCCTCAACCCCACCCAACACCACAACCAAAAGGAAAATACAATGGTGCACTAAGATTTTACCGGATGAAACTTTTGTCTTCTGGTCTATGGCCTGTGAAAAATTAACTCGATGGTAGCTTTTTAAGCAAGATGTATCTGGCAGAAAGATGTGGATGCTTTAGCCTGCAATTCTTGATTGTTTGCTTTTAAGAACTCAAAACTTGTTTCTAATTATCTGGGTCCATCAATGCAGGATGACTATGGTGGTGATTCTATATTTTTCCAGCAAACACAACATCCTCAGTTTGTTACTCAGTATAATGATAGTGGTTTTAAGAATAAAGAGTTCCCAACAATATACTTCAACAGAAATTGTCCGAGTCTTACAAGAGGGGGGAATATTAATGATGTGCCTCAAATTGGAAACAAAAATGTGGATGTTGGTTCATGTTCTAATGAGGCTGACTTTCATTCCTCCATAAACACTTCAACTGTTTCTTCCTCTTCTTTTCAGTTTCATGTAAAATCAGAAGAGGGCATTAACCTTTATGTTGATTTAAATTCAAACCCATCAGAATGGGTTGAGAAATTGAAGAGTGAGGTTTCTATATGCCAGAACATGTCCCATAGCAAGCCTCAGAGTTTCCGTAATGAGCTTGGGCACTTTGAGGAAAGTAGTAAGCAGTTGAAAAGTTCTTTTCAATTGAATGTAGAAGATGGGAGAATAGAAGATGGTCATATACACTCTGGATTACCCCCAAGTTTGATCATAAAAGAACATCATGCATTGCTGCTTGATAATTCAAATGGAGATGAAAGGCCCACAGGCTCCACTGTAATGACATGTGCTGAAGCTGTGGACGTGTCAGAGCACTTAGAAGGACATCAAGGACTGCCCTCATTTAAAGCTCTTCCTGATGTTCAAGAGGAAATAATTTCTTCTGGTGCATCCTCTGCTAAAGATGGATGTTTGATAACTCTTGATTCAAATATTAATTCTCCCAAGGAGATGTTAGCCAGTGATGCTATGTTAAATATATCAGATGGTGCACCAAATCTTCTCATAGTGAAGCATAAGAATTCTACTCTTGAAAATGAAACATGTGATAATTCTACCGTGCAAAATGGTTGTAATCCTGTGAGTTCTGGTGTAATAGTTCCTGGATACATGTCAGATGGTTCATTGCAGATGCCAATGCCCAAAGACGTGGTTCACCAGAAAAAGGATTTACATTCACCTAGTGAAAATGATGAATTTGGGAATTTGGTTGATCAAAAGCATAATATTTATGCGGAACAAGGTGGAGTAGTAGGCTCAACTGGGCTTTGTCAAGAGATATTTAGGAATCAGTTGCCGACATTAGTTGAAGAACAGGTAATAGTTCATCTCGTCTTGTCTTCTACTCCTGCTCCTAATCTTCCCTTCTCATTCTGTTTTCCATTGTGCTACTCTATTTTTGTGTCAAAATTTACTAGCTAGTTATTATTTTGAGAAATAATGTTTTAGGTTTTGTTTTCGAAGCACATGGCCATTCTTTATGAATATGTATGTAGTGGATTCATCTTAAGGGTAGAATAAATCCTCTTTTCTTATCTTCCTCTTTTTACTTATAATAATCTGAACACTTTGGTTTAATAAATTCAATTTATTTACTTTTTATGCTTCTGTTTATGGGTGTGGACGAGAGATGGGCTTAGAATTTTAACTAAACTATTTTGTCTCAGTATACTCAATGAAACAACTAAAATTATACTGTATGAAACTGCTTGCAGGATAGGAGCAAAGTTATTAATTGGGGAGAGAGTTCGGAGTAATTATCCTTCATAATTTAATTATATGCTATAGAATATTTATTTTATTGTTGATTTGGTTATATAACCGCTCTTTCCAGATGCTCACATGATGAATTATTTGAAAATTGTGGAGTGCTTGATAATATTGATTCTAATGGACTTGGGAAAAAGAGAGCATATATAGATGGTGATCAGAATGATTGTGGCATGCTTGATGCCAAGGTTTTAAGAAGCAGAAAGCATCCTATTAGGAAGGTAGATGATCAAAATGATAGTAGCATGCTTGATATCAAGGTTTTAAGAAGCGGAAAGCATCCTATTAGAGAGGTGGATGGTGATCAAAATGACTGTAGCATGCATGATGCAAAGGTTTTAAGAAGCGGAAAGCATCCTATTCGGAAGGTTGTTCCTAGAAGATCCATGCGGCTGGTTTCCAAGGTTTTTTTTCCCTCTTTCCTTTCTGTTCAATTAATTGCAGCATGCCACCCATTTGAAATATAACCACACATTTTGGTTTACATATGAGGAAATGTTTGTTCTTTCTGTTCTCTTGATTTTATGTTAACATACAAGGAAATCGAAAATTAGTCTCAGTCTAACAAAAAGTTTATGCAATAAGGCTGTAGTATTCTATTCAAGTTGCTGTTCATGCAACTAGTTTCATGTTATTTCTATCTTGTGTCCGGGAGAGAGAGAGTGGATTTAGCACTGCCACCGATGAATACCGGATGATAACCTATCCCTTTTCTTTCAGGGTCTTCATCTTCTACCAACTTTGTTCTCCTATTGGTGTTCCTCATACATGGGAGAACAACTACAAGCATGAGATTCTAGATCCACCATTTTTGATGTAGATCATGTTTTATATGTTAGTCAATAGTTGGCTTATGTATATGGGGTGAATTTTTTACGATAGTTATTTGGTTGAACCATGCTTGAATGCATCTTTTTAAAGAAGATAGTAGAATTTTAAACGTAGGACTGTGCATAAAACTGACATTGTTTAAAATAAACCTTAATCATGCTTGATTGAATCATGCGGGGATAGTTTCTTACCTTAATCAGCCCTGTTAGTGACAGAACTTCTGCTTTATTAGGCTGCTATTGTAGACTATGATGCGATGAATTACAAGGTTCCTGATTTAATTTTGCTGTGTGTTTTAGATTTCCTTCAGTTTGTTTGTCTAAACATATTCAGTTTATTCTTTTCTTCTTCAGTGATTTACGAAGTCTGTGCTGGTGAAATTCGAAATATTGGTTTCAGTTTTCCTTAGGAATTCATATTGCAAAGTCAGGTATTGTCTAGAGTAAGTGTTAAGTAATAATTTTTCATAATAATTCCATTTGAGCGTGGAGGAAGCTTTGATTGAGCTCACATTTAAGAACATGTTGGTTTAACTGAAATAATATATGCCAAATCTTTGTTAGTATCATTGTCATGAAAACCTATGCTGTTCGGACTCGGTGTTAGATACAAGTATGTTTAATTTTTTTTTTTAAATTCTTTTATGTATTATGAAATCTTTGAAGGTTGTCTTTATATCTATGTTAGATACGAGTGTTGAACTCGAACATTTGAAGAAAAGAAAATATCTGCTTAGAAACTTTTTAGTCTATTGATAATGCACACTCTCTACGAGTGCACCTGTTCGAATCTAGATTATTTTAGAAAGAATATCATTCTTTTTATCATTGAAATCACTCTATGAGTTCATCTTATAACGGATTAGAGTTTTCTTTTTGGAAATGTTTTATGAGCTAAAGCATAAAAGCTCTAAAAATCACATATAATCATGCTGATGGTTGGTTAAACAAAGAATTAGTTTTTGGCATAATTTATTTGATAATTATTTGATATATCGGTGGTGAGTTTTAGTTTGTTGTGACATGTTCTCAATTGTTTATTTAAATAGTAATTAATGATAAATGATATGTTAAAGTTTATTTTATTTTAATTTCACTTTTCTCTTTTTTGAACAAGAAATATATACAAAATTATTGTTTTTTTCTAATGTATGACAGGGATACTACAAAGTGAAAACTACTTCACACCCATATATATATATATATATATATATATATATATATATATATATATATATATTTTATTTATTTTTCAGGTCTTCTAAATATCAGCTTAAACGTAGAGTAATGCTAAAATATCATTTGTTAATATTATGATATTACATGTGAAAACAAGTCAACAACTGATCTAAAAATTTATTAAATTTAATGATCAATATTAATGAAAAGATATTTGATAAAATTTATTTGTTTAATATAATCACTGTTATTATTAGTTAAAAAATAATTTTAGATATTTATATTTATGTATTTATGAAATAAATATATTTTATTAAATTTTATTTTAAAAAATAAACACAAGTCAGCTTTAAGAAAAGCTTATGAAGTGCGTAGGCAGGTTGGTTACAGCTTTAGGCTATGTCAGTTCCTTACTATAAATGTGCCACATGCTTCGGTTGGTTGTCGCCGCTGTCATCATTCAAAGTCAATTTTACCTCCATTTTTCATTTACTATTTATGCTTTTAATTTAATCTATAAACGTAAGCTAGAATGTGGGAAATGAATTTTAAATAAAATAAAAATAACCTAATTTTGAAAACTTATATTAATATTATGCAATATTCCATGGTAGCTGTGTTGCAAGCGGGAATCGGAACCTCGTTGACATTTTGTGACCATATACCATGGATAGTTAATACGACCGCGATGGGAGTCTCACAAGCCATGTTATCGGAATTACACACAACAGGAGACCATTAGAGATTGAGTTTGTAAAAATTTATGGGGTGGAGCTGTAATCGGAACTAAGACACAAATCACTAAAACAACACTAACTTATATTTCAACAATATTATTACGGTCAATACTCACAAATAAATACTCATGATGTCAATAATGTTTATTATGGTCAATTCCTTTTTATATTGCAAATGTTGCATCTTATGACATAAGCAAACGTAAAGTTCTAAATAATGTTGTTCAGTATGTTTGTAGTGGATTCATGTTACTCAATCTGTCAGGAGTAGAATATACCATGGATGGTTAACACGGACGGGATGGGAATACCACAAGTCATGTGATCGGAATTACACACAACAGGAAGCCATTAGAGACTGAGTTTGTAGAAATTTATGGGTGTGGAGCTGTAACCGGAACTAAGACAAAAATCACTAAAACAACATTAACTTATATTTCAACAATATTATTACAGTCAATACTCACGATGTCTATAATGTTTACTATGGTCAGTTCCTTTTTATATTACAAATGTTACATCTAATGACATTAGCAAACGTAAAGCTCTGAATAACGTTGTTCAGTCTGTTTGTAGTGGATTTTTGTTATTCACTATGTTAGGAGTCAAATATAAAAAAATAATTATTTAATTAAATATTAGGGTTTTTTTTATCACTATAGCTTGAAAGAATAGTTGAGTGGTTAAAAAGGAAGAATACTAAAAAACTGAAATTTAAAGTTGGAAACAACAAACTAATTACGGGACAGTATTAAGAAATGATGTGATTCAATTTAGAATTAAATACGATTATAATTATAATGCAGGGCAAGGGCTTGAGTTGCATGTAATGAACAGTACATAAACTGGCTGTGACGTTTAAAATAAAAAATGGAAATAGGTGGTGGTGATGAATATGATAATGGAAGAAAAAAGCATGAAAAAGATGAAATGGCATTAACTTCTCATTAAATGCCTTCACCAACATTTGCCAATATTCAGAAGCAGCAGTTTGATCCACATTTATTGTTCTTTCTCTTCCCCTTTCTCACTACATTCTTCCCTGCAAAAAAAAACTACACCACCCATCATCTACTTCTCTTCTTCACTAGATTTCTTGTCAAATTTCTTCTTTTTGAATGTGTTTTCCCATTTACATTCTCTATCAAGAAACTACATGCAAAGCTAAAAGTATCAAGGCTTCTCAGCAAACAGCTTCATTGCTTCTTTAATTTGTTTGTGACCCAAAATTGCAGAAATGATGAACGTCACTGAGGAAGAGTGAAATCGCTTGGTTTCCATGCTACAAAGTTTTCTCAAGAGGTAGTTTGATCTTGGTTTTTAGGTAATGAGCTTCTGTTTTCTGGTTTTCGTCTCATTTTCATGATGGGAAATCAGTGGTGAATCAGTTCCGCATTTTCTTCTGTTATTTACTTATTGGTGTCTCAAAAATATTTCTGGATCCGTGACCGTGGGTAATCATGTTTTTACTTTATACTGCAAATGGTAAATGTGACTGTAATCCTTACTGATTTATCATATGCACTCTGGGTATAAAAAAAGATAAGCATGCAGCTTCAAAGCATTTGAAAAGTGATTTAGGTTCATCTTGTGCTGCAATGGGAGTTGTCAGCTTAGTGATTAGAGATTCCTGTATCAGGGTCTCACTTGTGGCTTTGTTAAATCTATGGTGGGTAGTTTCTGGTCTAGGCTCGATGTCTAGCATTGCCATTTCCTATGGTGAGAATGGTCCGGTTTTCTGTGGTTTGAAACCTGATGGTTCACATCTTGTAACCTGCTATGGATCAAATGCTGCAGTCATCTATGGGACACCTTCTCATTTCCCATTTGTGGGTCTAACTGCCGGTGATGGCTTTGTTTGTGGGCTGTTAATGGATTCGAACCAGCCGTATTGTTGGGGAAGCAACAGCTATATCGAAATGGGGGTTCCTCAGCCGATGATCAAGGGAGGCGAGTACGAAGAAATCAGTGCAGGGGATTACCACTTATGTGGTTTGAGGAAGCCTTTAACAGGAAAGCACAAAAATTATGCTTTTGTTGATTGTTGGGGTTATAATATGACCAAGAACTACGTCTTTGATGGGCAGATTAAATCGCTCTCCGCCGGATCGGAGTTTAACTGCGGATTATTTTCTTGGAACATGACTGTTTTGTGTTGGGGTGATGAGACGAGTAGCCGTGTCATTAGCTTGATTCCTAGAGAAATGAGGTTCCAAAAGGTTGCTGCTGGTGGTTATCATGTATGTGGGATCTTGGAAGGGTTGAATTCTAGAGTTTTTTGCTGGGGAAGGAGCTTGAACCTAGAAGAAGAACTGTCCATGCCGGTTGCATATTCCCGTCAAGGAAATGTTGATTTGCCGCCAAAAGATCCGATGCTTACGGTTGTTGGAGGGAAGTTTCATGCTTGTGGAATCAAGAGTTACGATCACCAGGTTGTTTGCTGGGGCTTCATTGTCAAACCAAGTACCCCACCTCCTAAAGGTGTTAAAGTATATGACATTGCAGCTGGAAATTACTTCACCTGTTGTGTTATGGCCAAAAAATCTTTTCTCCCGGTTTGTTGGGGCGTCGGATTCCCCACCTCGCTCCCTCTGGCTGTCTCACCCGGACTTTGCAAGGATGTTCCTTGCTCGCCGGGTTCCTATGAAGTTAATCCCAAGAATACACCTTGCAAGTCTCCTAACTTTCATATTTGTATGCCCTGCAGTATTGGTTGCCCTGCCGAAATGTACCAAAAATCAGGATGTACTTTGAAGTCTGATCGAGTTTGTTATTACAATTGTTCTAGTTGCAACTCAGTGGAATGCTTCTCGAATTGTTCTTCGCCTTCGAACTCCAATGCTGCTAATGGAAGTAAAAATGAGAGGTTCTGGTCGCTACAATTGCCGATCATCATCGTGGAGATTACCTTTGCCGTGTTACTGGTGATTATTATGTCGTTAACTGCAGTTTTATATGTACGATACAGGTTGCAGAGCTGTCACTGCAAATCAAAAGAGCCGAAATTCAAGAAAGCTAATGAGATTGCTTCTTGCCGAAAGGAAAATGTAAAAGTCCGTCCTGACTTTGATGAGCTTAAGATCAGGAGGGCTCAGATGTTCAATTACGAAGAACTCGAGAAGGCCACTGGTGGATTCAAAGAAGAATCTGTGGTTGGAAAAGGAAGTTTCTCATGTGTTTATAAAGGGATATTGAAAGATAGGACTGTTGTTGCAGTAAAAAAGGCCATAATGTCTTCAGATAAACAGAAGAATTCCAAAGAGTTCCACACGGAGTTAGATTTACTGTCGAGATTGAACCATGCCCATCTTCTGAATCTGCTCGGATATTGCGAAGAAGGTGGGGAACGGCTTCTTGTTTACGAGTTTATGGCTCATGGATCATTGCACCAGCATCTTCATGGAAAGAACAAAGCCTTGAAAGAGCAACTAGATTGGGTCCGGAGGGTCACCATTGTGGTCCAAGCTGCACGAGGAATCGAATACTTGCATGGTTACGCTTGCCCACCGGTGATTCATAGGGACATCAAATCCTCAAACATTCTCATTGATGAAGAACACAATGCTCGAGTGGCTGATTTCGGTCTGTCTTTACTAGGACCTGCAAATAGTAGCAGTCCATTAGCCGAGCTACCTGCTGGGACACTCGGTTATCTTGATCCGGAATACTACAGGCTCCACTACCTCACAACAAAGTCCGATGTCTATAGTTTTGGTGTGTTATTGTTGGAAATTTTAAGCGGACGAAAAGCCATTGATATGCAATACGAAGAAGGGAATATAGTAGAGTGGGCAGTTCCATTGATCAAATCAGGAGACATATCTGCATTGCTAGACCCCGTTTTGAAACCTCCTTCAGACATCGAAGCTTTGAAAAGGATCGCGAATGTGGCTTCCAAATGTGTGAGAATGAGAGGAAAAGAGAGACCATCAATGGATAAAGTGACCACCGCTTTAGAACGAGCTTTGGCTCAGTTGATGGGCAGTCCGTGTAGCGAACAACCGATTTTGCCAACCGAAGTGATATTGGGAAGCAACAGAATGCACAAGAAGTCTTCTCAAAGGTCTTCAAATCGATCGGTCTCGGAAACTGAAGTTGCAGAAGAAGTTGAGGATCAAAGGTTTGAGTTTAGAGCTCCTTCATGGATTACTTTCCCCAGTGTAACCTCATCTCAAAGGCGGAAATCATCAGTATCAGAAGCAGATGTCGAGGGAAAGAACATGGAAGGAAGAAACACAGGCAATGTAGGGTACGCCGGGGATGGTTTGAGAAGCTTGGAGGAAGAAATAGGCCCCGCATCTCCTCAACAAAGCATGTTCTTACAACACAATTTCTAAATGATCCCAGGAAATGGAACTGTAAAAAATGGAGAATGAGGATGTAATTTTCAGGATTTCTATAGTATCATATCCTGGTTTGCATCTTGCATGTGTAATGGAGCTTCAAACTTTAATCATGCTATCGACGGCACGGACCATGACACTGTAACCTTAACCGTGCTGTCATAGTTCGTGACGGCACAGACAGTGACCTTTTAACCTTAACCATGCTGTAACAAATGCAGACCGTGACATGCATCTGTTTCGATTTGTACTCCCTTGTGTTGTTAATTTGAATTCTTTCTTGTGACTATTGTACTGATTGTAACTTGTGTGATCTGTTTCTTCTAATGCTAATGGATGAAAATCTTGTTTACTGTTATGTTAGACATCTACAATGTAATTCGATGAAATGGAAGCATTAATGTATAAAGACCAACAATGCATTTTTCCTGTAACTCAAGAAAAATATATAAAAACAATATTACAAGAACCAAATCAAACTGAAAATGAATCAAATCACATTGTTATTAAGCAGGCACATACTGATATACATAGCTCGAAGTCTTGGCCAAACCAAAAACTATGATGTTTGTGTTGATTGCTGTATCACCGATGACTTTTTTTTCTTCTTTTTTGTATTCTGTTTGATACATAGACCCGGGAGTGTTGTGCATTTACACTGGTTTCGGATAAATTTACGTAACATGTAATGTAATTCGAACAAAATTAAAGCTGCAAAAACTTTGTGACAGATTCATGCAAAAGACTCTTCACAGTTTGCATCATCGGGCACCAGAGGAGACAACAAAGAAGAATTCTGACTCATACACCTATTGTTCGAAGGGAGCATAAGCTACTAAGAACCTCATAATTGATGTAGACGTTACTGGCTCCAAACTGAAGGGTTACGGAATTGTGTCCCCATTGCATTCAACAGAAATCTTACAAGATCTTCTCTCTGAACCTCCTTCCCCTTCTTAAGATCAAGATGACGAACCTGAAGATATTATCATTTTAAGGTTACACGTATTGGTAAAGAACTAAATAATGTCTTTAAAGTAGCAAAAAAATTGAAAACGAAAAAAGAAATAGCCTCCCAGGTCCGCATTACCTTAACAAAGCCAGTTTGAGATACACCCATTTCGGTTATGATAACAAGACATTTTATCTCATGTTCACTTGCAAATTCGTATTGTTCAGTGAGGCTCGGATCAGGTACAGGAACAAGTTCAGCCTGATATACAAGAATGACAAATGAGTATGAAAACGACAATAAATTACATCGAACGTTCAAGAACAACAATCTAACCCCAACCTTGATATTCTCCTCCCACAATTCAGCAACAAGTTCCATGCGTTCCCTTAACAGACCCCCACCTCCTCTTGAACAAACAAGGATGCTGGTGGTAGGTTCATTTCTGCAGCAGGAAACACAAAGGTGACGGCGCCATGAGTATGGTCAATGAATCAAATAAATACCGAGAAGATAGAGATAAGCAATAGAAGGCAACTGCACCTAATAGGCTTGAAATCTTCAGGAGAATGCTGGATTATAGTCTCAAGTGCAAGGCTGGTTCCAACAGCACCTGGAGGATTTGTTTTCTGGATGGTGCCAAAAAAGAGAGACAAGTTTCACTTACTAAATAGATGAGATATGATTTTGGAAATTATGCAAGTATACCAGGGTACTAGCATACACACACTAGTGAAACCTAAGCAACCATGGCTTTTTGACTTCTAAATTGCACATGCAGTTAAGACTGGCAGGGACTTATTGCTGGAACAATAATCCAGTATTCATTGTAAGTATTCAATAAATGACAATAGGAAGTAAACTAGGCAATATAACTCAGTTAAAAGTTACTTAGCTGTAAGACAGCACTATATATATTGACTTATTAGTTATTGGGGTCCCATTCTACAAGAACGTGAAACTATGTACGTTAATCAAGCGTTCAACTTGCTTGGCTAGTGCACATGTACATACAATAGTGCAAAAATGAAAAGTAGGAAAGGAACCAAAGGTGCATAACATACATTTTCACAATCCCACATTTGATGAAGTATATAATCATATCGACCACCAACAGCAAGCAATGAACCTTCAGTAAGTGCTCCAGGATGGCTCTCCTTTCCCAAGTATATCTGGACAACAAATTAGAAAATTCGTATCTAAATACAGGTAGGTGTGAAAACTATCTATATACACCTTTATAGGCAGAACTATAAAAACAGTACAAAATTGTGTCATGGATAAAATATATATTTTAAACCCCAGTTTCTCTAAAGATATAATGGGAAAGATAGATGCCTTTAGTAGCCATGATCAACATTCTAATATGCACCATAGTGACAAAGCGGTATGATAAAGGTAATATAAGCATATGTCTAGGTGTATCCATGTCATGATAGTTTAGTACATAAAAACACACACAAGCAACTAAAGTTGTCATACCTGAAAAAACAAATCTCTATGATAATTCTCAGTTGGTGGCATCAATGGGTCTATATAAACATGTCTTTCGATCCTCCATATCCTCAAGTAACTAAAGAGGTCTGACAACTCATCAAGAGCTTTGCGGGTAGGTTTATCTGCAGGCAATGCTCCCCTCAATCGAGGGAGGGCCTGGTCTACAGCTCCACAGAATCTTAAACTAACAGTCTGCAACCTATTTACAGTAGCTTCTGCTAAATTGAGTTCCTGGAAAAGAATGAAATTTAGAAGAGGATGAGTAAACCAAAGAATTTAAATTAATGATAGGATTTCATTTTTCATATGGTTCACTTCGACAATTCTTCAAGATTAATAATAACGCGCTAGAGACAAGAAACTCCTGAAATATATGACTATACTATTGCCAGAATATTATACATAACCACTTTTCCTATTCAAGGTTACTTTGCTCTTGAACAGTTGAACTTAATAATATCAAAGCACCATGATTCACCCTACATGAAGCAAAGATTTTTTTTTTATAAAGTAAGAATGTTTTCTAAAGTTAGAATGAATCTTTATTTTTTTTGGAACAAACTATAAAGTAGTTTTCTATCAGATTAAATAATAGCACAAATTCTTTACATATTTTCTCGTTGTTCTAAAGTAACTTCATGTATTTGCATGTCCTAATAAAAATATATGAAGCAAAGACATAATTCCTCTAAGAATGTACAAGGTAGCTCCCAAGATTTTTCGTTAGGTTTTACAAAATTCTCATCATCCAGCAAAATAGGTCAGCTCTTTTAATCCAAAATAGAAAAAGAAGGGGATCTATCGGACAGGGTTCTAGAATATCTATCTAATTAATTCATTCAAGAAATTTGCAGTTTCAAGTAAAACATTTGGGAAGTGAACAGTGAACCAGCACAATCCAAGTGAACGTTGTACTATATTGTCTTTACTACAATGGCCTAAACAGTTAAGTGAATCGTTTCTTTTTGGGTACAAAGAACAATGCCATTGACCCTAATCAATAGCACAACTTTATCATTGTTACGTATTTGTAGGCTAAATCTTAAGATTGATGTATATTGTATTTAATGTAGAATATTACGTAATTAATATAAGATATTACTTTACATATTATAGGACTTTATGTACCCATAATGTTGATAAATAAATAATAAACAATCATTAGCCTCTCTTTTACAGTTTCTACAACCATAACCGTTAAAGGGAAAATACAACATAAGAAATCATTCAAAAGTATTTGCAATGCATCCTAAATTGTCAAGTCCATCTCCAGCATCCATAAATGCCCAAGTTGGATTATTCGCCCAAAATATTTGACAAATAAAATATTAATCCCAAATATACACACTTTTTTATCACATTTTAGATGCACTTTCATCCAACATGGTGTGCTTCTAAATTTACAATATAAAATAAACACAGCAGCCTGTTAGGTCTAACGAATTTCTCTAACTAAAATCACGACTGTACAATAAGACCTGATCATTTCTTGGAAACATAGGCCTTACCATAAAAATCACTAACTGCTCGAATATCTGCTTGGTTTAACCGTAATAAACAAACACTCGATAGACACAAAACAGTCACTTCAACTTTATGAAACTCTAAGAAGTACAAATTTGGTAAATGCATTATTATAATGGCAACTTCTATAGCTATTTAAGCTAAGCACAGTGTGTTTCATAGTTTCAACAAACCTGCAAAAGCTGACGCCTTATAACAACCCACTTTAACTTCCGTTCAGATGATTGTGGACGCAAACAAGCCATCATTGAGAGGAGCTTCATTTAGTTAAGGGAGCAATTGTCAGACCAAAATTTCACACAATAAAATAAAATGCAGCGTATACATCAACGATGTACCTCAGCCACTTTCTGTCGGTGCTCTGCATTGACTCCTGCCCAAATCCAGATAGCCTCGAGCAGATTCCCGTGATTAAGATGAATATCACACAACTCTGAGTTAAAAAATTGAGAAACAATGTTCACTGTCACCTGCAAATGAGTCCAAAGTATAAATTTAATACTACAACATTTCAACACATAACTTTCTTCAAACTTACTGCATGACAAATTAATCAAGCCAAGTGTATGGGCATGGCATGGAAATACAGATTTCATAGTCCTGAAGAATAGATTTACAATGAATATAAAAACCATAAAAAATCACATTCAGACCCCAGTCCTTTTCAGGCAGATATATATAGTGTTTCCTTAGTTATCTGCAAAAGGAAAAAACTAATAATGTTTTTCACCGAAGCCCATGGATGGCGACGTATCTAAAACGTAACGTATCTAAAAGATCACATTAAAATCACAATTGAAATGCAGTGACCTTTAAAATGATAACAAAATGTTTTAAGCATAATTTTATAAATTCTTAGTAGTAATCATCAGCTTCCCAGTAGCAGTAACTATGAGATAATTTGGCCATAGAGCATCACTGAGAGAGAAGAGGAGGAGAATGACTCGATCAACACTCATGGTTGAGCTAGAAACATAACCAGGTAAAATACAGAACTTTAACTAACCAGCTAACCTACATAGCTAGAGAACAATAGATAGATAAAAAAGATTACCTTGAGAACCTCTGCCTCTGTCAAAGCTGATGCACCTCCAATAATGTCAAAATCACCCTATTGGTAATCAAGAGTCAATGTGCAAAGTTACCATAACTTTTGATATGAAAGCACTACCAATAATAACTGAAAACATTGTAAGATTAAAAGGTGCATCACAGCGTAAGTTTTACAGCATCTATACCTGAAGATAACGATTTGGAGGTGAATGACCAATCGCTCTTCTATAAACATATGATATCTCATATCGTTTAAACGAAAATTTCTGTGACAGATAAAATGGAAAATCAAATAATTTCAAATAAACATCCACTAAAAAAAGCAGATTAGAGACCATGACAAGCATGCATATAAAAAACAACGAGAAAAATGCAGTTATCTTCTGTTGCAAACGGTTAGCTTCAACAACACTACATATAAAAGGATCAATAAAAAAATGTGCTAATCAGTGATTATCCTCACAAAACAGTTTTTAGAGACTTTCAAGAAAACCCACTAAATTTTAGCTCCTAACTGATATATCACTTAGGAATCCTAACAAATTTCTTCCAATACAACATTATATTGTAAAATAACAAAGGATGAATATTACATCATGAAGAACAACAAGATTTCCTGTTATATCAAATAATATTTTCAATTCTAAGAAGAATGACTTTTTTGGTATTGCTTTCCAAAAGCACGTATTTTGAGAAGATAAAACAAGCACTTAGAGTAAGCATATGGTATGAAATACCTATAGAACTCAAAGATGAGTGTTTATGCTACTGAACAACATTATATATTGCAAAAAGAAATTAGAATGTTAAAAGACAATTTTGGAAGTCATTTCTTTAGTATTCTTAAAATTTCTATTTGAACATCTTGGGAAAACCACTATCAAGAGTGCATAATCGATGGACATAATCGAGAATTAATTGATGGACATACAGAGTTTATTGTTACATCTAGCTCTTGAAGGCTATGACTATTTCTAAAGTAGAAATATGACAACCTTACAGCCTTACACAATTCAATCCACAAACCGAAGATAAGAAAAACTGAAAACATAGGCGCAATTTTTCTGAGAAGTTTAGTACTCAGTACCTGGTTTACTACTATCCATTTAACAAAAGGTAGGCGCAGCTCATGACAAAGTTCAAGCATATCCCCTCCGTGAGTCAGAAGTTTGACAGTATTCCTTGTCAAACAAACCAGATTTGATTAGTCAGCAGTATCTTTAAACAAAGGATACAAGAATTTTGACTGTGGAAGGCACCTTGAGAATTGTGTACAATCATCTAGCAGATGCATAGGCACTATTTCGAGATGCTTAGCACAATGCTTCTTGAACACTTCCCTGGAGACCTCAGCAACAAAATCACGAAGTTCGGTGTCTAAATCTGCGAACTGGATGGAAGTAGTATCATGGTGAACCATTCCCAATCTACCAGTATTCTGGTGATGGCTTTTTGTTGCTAACGTTTTTTCATCAAAAATAGCATTCACAACTTTGTCATACACACTTGTGTCCTCTGAAGTCTGCATTGTGCGGAGAATATCTGAATAGGGAAATAAATTAGCAAAACTATTGATTTATCAAAGGTCTAGTAGATATTTCTAGACTTTATTTACACCAAATTACAGGCTGATTTATTGTATTAAGACATCTAGGATATTCTATCAGCTAATTCCTAAAACAGCAGAATATCAAATGACACACAGCAGCTGATCTTCATATGTCGACTCTATTACAAGCTAGTTGTGCACCAATATTACTACTAAAATTTTATTTGAACTTACAATTATGTACTATTTCCAATTTTCGTTAAAATCATAATTTCTTTTTCCTTTTTGGTGAGAGAATCCTTTTTGCCCACCAAAACAAGAGTTATGGCAGATGAGTTAATTAATTTTTATTTCTAATGAGTTACAAGGTGATAGGATCCTTGATTTTAGGAATTTTTCTGTTTTAAACAATTGATTCCTTAATCTTATGCATTTATATTAGAATATTTAATTTCCTTAAATCTTTTGCATTTATATTAGAATATTTAATTTCCTTAAATCTTTTCTATTTCATTGTTCAAGAACCCTAATCTTTGGTCACAAAAGATTATGAACCCTAAAAATAGGTAATGCCATATGGATATTCAGAAGCAATCAAATACAACAAAAAGTCTTTTTGACAATTGTTTGGAGGTTGATCCCATAAAAGTGATCAAATTTTATTTTTCTTGTTAATTTTCCCAATTCTTAGGATAGAACCATAAGTTATTATCATTTGGTATCAGAGTCACAATCAACCACAAAGCACCACAAAAAAATCCTTTTTTTTTTGCATTACATAAACCCAAAACAAAAAACAAAATCTAGGGATTAAGTTGAAGAATTTGAGAAAAAGATGTGGGAATCGCTTGAGATTTTCAAGAAAAATTTACTTGAGAGCATAAAAAAAGATCGAGTAATGAAGATTCTACTTCAAACAACAAACATGGAGTGATATGGATTGCCCTCATATGAAGGTGGAGTTTTGCAGATAGTAAGATAGTGATCCAAGTGGCTTAATTTCAAGAGCGGAAAAATACTTTCGCTTCTAAAAACCCCCAGAAGAATCAAGTAGAAACAACTTCAATTCAGCTAGATGAAGATGTTATTCAGTGGTATGAAGAATTTGAATCATGTCAATGAACTACTACATGGGAGCAATTTAAAAGGGGTCTTCTTGTTTAGTTTGGGCATTCTAAATATAAGAACTTTGATGGAGAGCTCCTACAAGTTTTTGGAAGAGAAGTTTCCTGAGTTCATGGCTACTCAAGTCTTGAGGAGAAGACTATTGAAGAGGCAGGGAATGATAGGATCCTTGATTGTAGGAATTTACTATTTTAAATATTTGATTCCTTAATATTATAAATTTATATTAGATTATTTAATTTCCTTAAATGTTTTCAATTTCCTTCATTCCTTGTTCGAAAACTCTAATCCTTAGTCACCTAGAATTATGAACCCTATAAATATGTAATTCCCTATGGCTATTTTTCCAAAGCAATCAAATATAGCAAAAGCCTTTTGGCAATTGTTTGGAGGTTGATCTCCTCGAAGTGAACAAATTTTACTTTTTCTTGTTAATTTTCCCAATTCCCTTTTGATAGAACCCTAGGTTCTTATCACATGGAAAATGAATATTCTTGTGGTTAAGAAGCACGCTTGTTGAAGATCTTCACTTCTTGTTTGGTGATAGGTGATAACCCCATTGTAACCACTTTTTTAAGTTCAATTACACGCTCATATTCATTAAAGATTTCTGTCAGGAATAAGGAAAGCTACACAAAGTTATGTGTATGTATAAAAAAAAATATATTGTGTTTTTCTCCCCTCCCCCCCAAAAAAAATCATTTGAAAAGGTGAAGTACCAGTTATTCATAAAGGTAACCTTCAACAAGTAATGTACTTGTCTGTTTTCAGGTTGCCATCTAGTGTCCTCTCGAGGTTGAATTCAATAATGGTGAACTTTTTATGGGGTGATTCGAATGGGAGGAGAAGAATCCATTGGGTCAATTGGCAGTTTGTATGTAAGCCTAAGGAGTTAGTGTAGAAATCAGACTATAGAAAGAAAACAGACTGTATAGTAGAAAACAGACTGTAGGAAACAGTCAAGTCTGTTATTTTTTTCTTATTTCATTCAGTAGAGCATATTACATATTTATATACAAATAATGCCTCTAAATTAGGAAACTCTAAGTTAGGAAAGATACTAATCCTAGGAGATGTAATCCCTTGAAATAAGGGATTTGAAAAACAGAAAATAATTACAAAATCTCTTGACAGCTCATTTCTATAATTCCTACAGTTAGGCGGGTTAGGAATTATTGATTTGAACCTCATGAACAGAGCTCTCTTGGGTAAATGGTATTGGCGTTTTACAACTGAATCTAGGTCCTCGTGGAAAAGGGTAGTATGTTGTAAGAATGATGTGGACCCGAGAGATCTGTCTATCGAGAGAAGGGGATTTCCGAAAGCTTCTTGGGTTTGGAAAGGAGTGATTAATAACTGTTTGGCTAAGGATGATTTTGGGGATAGTTTCAAAAAGCATTTCAGCTTCAAGGTTGGGAGTGGGGAGGTTATTCTTTTTTGGCATGATGTGTGGGAGGGCAGTGTGTCTTTAAAAGAAAGATTTCCAAGGTTGTATCCTCTTGCGATTAACAAATGGGGAACAATCTCGGAGTTCAGAAAGCATAGTCAAGCAGGGTGTATTTGGGACATTCAAGTGAGGAGAAATCTTGCGGATTGAGAGTTACAGCTTTGACTCGATTTAAACTCTATTTTATGCAGTTCTGTGGTTGATGATTCGTTGGAAGACACCTCTGTGTGGAAAGGGAATGGGGAGGGGGTTTTTCCAGTTAGATCTTGTTTAAGATTAATGAATGAGCAAGAGAAGGTGGATATGGATTGGCATTAAATTGTTTGGCTTGGGATGGCTCCTCCTTGGATGGAAGCTTTTTTATGGCAGGTTCTACGGATGAAGGTAGGGGTTAAAGTTGAGCTTTTGAAACATGGAGTTAATGGGATTGAGGATAATATATGTCCCATGTGTGGTATGGCTGCGGAAACAGTTTCACATTTATTTATTGTTTGCCCGATAGTTTGGCAGTTATGGTATTACTTTCTATTGAGTTGGGACGTAGTTTTTGTTGTTCCAGAAAGTCCATATGATCTTCTTGCAGGGTGGGGAAAGATGTTCCCACGTTTGAAAATATGGGTGTTTATTCCAGGAGCGATATTTCTTTAGAACTTGATCCTCCAATTGGATTGTGATTGTTCGACAGCTGTATTCAGAGGCATTTTTAAGTTTGTTGTTGTAATTGTTGGTTTTATTTTGCTATGTTATCTTACATCTTGAGGTGTATTTTACAAATATGGTTATTGTTTTAGGGGCTTTTTGTTTGTCGATGTAAGATTTCTAGTAGATATGGTTTGTATTGGTGTATATTCCCGTACGAAGGTTTGGTGTTACCACATGTACTTGGTATTCTATTCAATAAAATATGAGGCACACTTTTCTCCCTTCCAATGTTCTTCCACATACTTCTAAGTATGTGGAAGAATATGAAGGGAGTTTTTAATGAGATCTCCAACTTCTATAAAAAAAATGGTAGGAAGATGAACACTGCTTTGTTGCATTTCTTAATGAGGTATAGACTAGTTTCTTGCGAAATTTCCTGATGTCCCTATTATGTTCAATTGTCTTGTGGGGAATCCGATTCTAGCTGATTCCTGTGTGTTTAATGTTAAAGATGGTGATTCTTCGCACTCTTGGAATCCTCCTCCGAAAGGTTTTTTCAAGTTTAATGTTGATGGAGCTGTGGAGAAGTCTTGGTGTAAAGGGGGAATAGGTGGTATTTTGAGGGATGAAGACGGGGGTGTGCTTAGGTTCTTTCTCTGAGAGTGTTGGGGGAGGCCCTCCAATTCTGGCCGAGTTGTTGGCTATTAAAGCAGGATTATTATTCTTCTTCAAGTCAAGTTGGAGCTCAAGGGTCAGATTAATGGTGGAGTGTGATAGTAGTAAAGCTGTGGATTGGATCAAGTGGCCGAGTTCTTCTCCTATGATTTTCAGCTCACTAGTCAAGGAAATTAGTGCATTGGTAGAAGATAGGTGTGTTGTTGTAAAACATGTTAGTAGAATTGTGAATTGTAAAGCGGATGAATTAGCTAAGATAGGAATTGGGTGAATTTCTAGTTTTAGGTTATTATGTTTTGCTGGTTTAGTCTTTTATGTACTGGTTATAATGTAATGGTTTGTTCGGAAGAAATAAAATTATGAGACACTCTTTTCCTCCTTCCAATGGCCGTCGAGATAACCCAGGGTCCTTGACTGTTATGAAGGGTTTTTTTAACGAGGCCTCCCTTTCTTATAAAAAAAAAGATAAAAATGTAGCCCAGAAAATAGTTACTTACTATCCAACAGCTCATATTCCATTCGTGGAGGAAAAGCATTTTGCAAAAGTTCCATGGCAGATGGGCGATCAGAAGGGCTTTGTGACATTAAGCATCTTAACAAGGACGCCTGTTCTGGAAATTCAGCTATCCATGCAGAAGGAAGTTCTCCTTTCAATTTCACATCAGATAAAACAATATGTCTCTCCATAGCTGTCCCAAAAGGGTGCCAAAGCTCAAAGAAAACAACTCCTAAGCTGTACATATCAACCTGGAAGATAAGACAACTAATAGCAGTCATATCATAAGTTATGAAATTGTAGAAGCATTATATAATGATAAAAACCTGAGCCTTAGACAAATGCTAGGTGCCTACATTTCTTCCTCTCAGAGCCAGAAATAATATCTAAAAAAAATCACACAGCTTGTTACCAAGTAAAACCAAAGAAGGAATTATCATTCACCTTCTCATCAATCTTTGGCCAGCCCTGCTCGATTTCAGGTGCAGTGTAAAAGTAGGTACCAACTTGACCAGTACCATCAACAGAAGATCCAAGTATATCTGTTGGGAAGCTAACATCCTGGTCCACCTGGTCTAACCTCAAGAATTTCGCTGAAGCCAGAAGAACAAAATTTACAAATTGTCATTTTTTATAAAAAATTTGGGGATCTTGATTAATCTTAAGTAACATGGCCACGATCCCAATTTTGAAAGGGGAAACACATTTTCTTCTGTAGAATTATTTGGAGTATAGTTTGAATGCATATTTGTCTGCGTGTTAGAGGGCCGAAATTAAGGAAATCCATAGTAAAATAGATCAGTATTTTGTTCCATATTTTTAGGGGATTCTGGTAACTTGTTACCATATCTGTATATATTTATTTCCTGTTTATTTCTTTATGTTTTAGATAGATTTGACCTTATTCTAGGTTTGTATATATCCCTAGAAATTAGGTGTTTCAACATCTATATATAGGGAACGTGTAACCTGTTTTAATATATTGAAAATAATAAAGAATTCCTCTACTTTCAGCATGGTATCAGAGCATTCTCTGAACCCTAAATCCCTCGTATGACCAAATACGGCAGAAGTGACTCAACTGCTTTCGTGTCTCAAATCACCTCCAACCAGGTAGCCATGGCCTCCAGTAACAGTAGTAGAGATATGAATCTCATGCCCATTACAGGATACAAACTGAATGGGAACAACTATCTCCAATGGTCTCACTCTGTTATGATGTTCATATGCGGAAGAGGAAATGATGATTATCTCAAAGGAGTGGCTGCCAAGCCAAGCCAGGATGATGAGAAGTTCAAAATCTAGAATTCCGAGAATAATATGGTCATGTCATGGCTCATCAATTCCATGACAAATGAAATCGGAGAGAACTTCCTACTCTACAGAACAACAAGGGAAATCTGGGAGGCTGCAAAGGAGACGTATTCCAACAATGAGAATACATCTGAGCTGTTTGAAGTGGAGAGTGTTCTCCATGACTTCCGTCAAGGAGATTTAACAGTAACCCAGTACTTCAATACACTCAACCGCTATTGGCAACAGCTGGACTTGTTCGAGCACAATTGGAGCTGTCTAGATGATGGAATCAGGTATAGACAGATCATTGAACGGAAGAGAATATATAAGTTTCTGATTGGATTAAATAAAAATCTAGATGAAGTAAGAGGAAGAATCTTGGGATCTAAACCTCTACTTAATATCCGGGAGGCTTTTTCTGAAGTCCGGAGAGAGGAGAGTCGAAAGAAAATCATGATGGGCTCTCAAGAACCAATGACAAGTCTTGAGAGCTCAGCCCTTGCTGTTAGAGGGAACTCCTACAACACCAATGACACCAAACCAAAGAAAGGACGCCCTTGGTGTGATCACTGCCGCCGACCTGGTCACACCAGGGACACTTGCTGGAAAATTCATGGTAAGCCTGCAGATTGGAAGTCTTCCCGGTCAGCCAACGACAAAGAGGGGCGAGGCAATTTTGTCTCAATGGATGACAAACCTTCACCTGAACCTACTCCATTCAGCAAGGAACAATTAGAGGTTCTACAGAAGCTGTTCAACCAGTCTTTGCATGCCCAAACCTCCACTGTGGTTGGTATTGGGTCCTTAGCCCAAAAAGGTAATTTTTTAAGCGCTCAATGTTAAAAAAGAGACGTCAAATCCATGGATTATAGATTCTGGAGCTTCAGACCATATGGCTGGAAATGAGGACCTATTTTCTACTTACAGTCCATGTGATAAACACTTAACGGTCAGAATAGCCGATGGTTCACTCTCAAAAGTGGTTGGTACAGGTTCTATTAAAGTATCAGAGAATATTACACTTGAATCAGTCCTTCTTGTGCCAAATTTGAACTGCAATTTACTGTCCATTAGTAAACTTACTCGAGACCTGAATTGTGTGACTAAATTTGGTTCAACCATGTGTGAATTTCAGGTCTTGGACTCGGGGAAGACGATTGGCAGTGCTAAAATGTGCTCGGGACTCTATCTTCTCGAGGTTACAAATCCTCCTCAAGGCACAACTTATCAGTCCGATTGTCTAGTGTCTGGTAATCCTACTTCTTTTTCTGTCAGTTGTTCTAATAATGATAGTGCAATCATGTTATGGCACTATAGATTAGGACATCCGAATTTCTTGTATCTTGAGAAACTGTTTCCTTCTCTATTTCATAATAAAAATCCAAACGAGTTCAAGTGTGAAATTTGTCAATTCTCTAAACATGTCTGTAATTCTTATCCCAACCAATCTTACAAAGAATCCCATCCTTTTTCAATGATTCACAGTGATGTTTGGGGGCCATCTAAAATAAAAATGTGACTGGTTCCCGTTGGTTCATTACATTTATTGATGATCACACTCGGCTTACATGGGTCTTTCTCATGAAAGAAAAATCAGAGGCAGGTCAGATTTTCAAAAACTTCAACACCATGATACAAACTCAATTCCAAGCCAAAATCCAAATTCTGAAAACTGACAATGCCAAAGAATACTTCAAATTCATACTCAATGATTATCTCTTGAGTCATGGCATCATTCATCAAAGCTCATGTGTCAAGACCCCTCAGCAAAATGGAATTGCTGAAAGGAAAAATCGGCACCTTCTAGATGTTGCAAGATCTCTTATGTTTTCTACTCATGTACCGAAACATTTCTGGGGTGAAGCTATTCTCACTGCGGCATACCTCATAAACCGGATGCCATCTAGGATTCTCAACTTTCAAAGTCCTTGTCAAACCTTACTTCAGTTTTTCCCAAATACACGTCTCATCTCCACTATTCCCTTCAAGGTTTTCGGGTGTTCAGCCTTTGTTCATGTCCATCAACATAAAAGGGATAAACTTGATCCTAGAGCACTTAAGTGTATCTTCCTTGGGTACTCTCCAACTCAAAAGGGGTATAAGTGCTACTCACCGGACACTAAACAGTACTACCACTCCATGGATGTTACCTTTTTTGAGCACCAGCCCTATTACCCCAAATCTGATATTCAGGGGGAGACCAATTTTACCCAAGAATATCAAATTTGGGATATTGATGAATCAGTTCAGCTCTCTCTAAATCCTGACCAATCTCACCCATCACCAAATTCTAAACATCTCTCCCTAGAATCTTCCTACCAAAATCTGGACACTAGTAAATCAACAACTAATAATGAGTTGATTACCTATTCATGGAGGAGGAAGAACCAAAAGGAGATGGAACCACCAGCACCTCTGCAGCAAAACCAAGAATATGATCCTAGTCCAAGATCTTGTGAAGATCCAGCATCTCTGCAGCAAAACCAAGAATCTGATCCTAGTCCAAGATCTTGTGAAGATCCTTCAGGTAATCCTAATCCTGAATCCTCACAGAGTGAACTAACTGGTGACGACAGTGACTATCCTATTGCCGTGAGGAAGGGGGTTAGAACTTGCACAAAACATCCTATATATACCTTTATATCATATGAAGGCCTGTCACCAAAATTCAAGTCGTTTATTGCCAACCTCGACAGCACTCAGGTCCCAAATAACATACAAGAAGCTCTTGGATTTCCCGAGTGGAAAGCTGCTGTGCATGAAGAAATAAATGCACTTGAAAAGAATGGCACCTGGGAAATATCAGAATTACCATCGGGAAAAAGGCCAGTAGGATGCAAATGGATATTCTCAATCAAGTACAATGAAGATGGAAGTGTTAATCGTTTCAAGGCACGACTAGTGGCTAAGGGATTCACTCAATCGTATGGAATCGACTATGAGGAAACATTTGCCCCAGTAGCCAAGTTAAACACAGTTCGGGTTCTCCTATCTCTAGCTGCAAATCTTGATTGGCCCCTTCACCAACTAGATGTCAAGAATGCCTTTCTAAATGGGGACTTAGCTGAGGAAGTTTACATGGAAATCCCTCCAGGATTTGAGACACCGAAAACTGACAACAAAGTTTGCACACTTAAAAGATCATTATACGGGCTCAAGCAATCACCAAGAGCTTGGTTTGAGAGATTTACCAAGGTAATAAAGAATCATGGCTATTCTCAATGTCAATCAGATCACACCTTGTTTGTCAAACACTCATTTGCAGGAAAACTGGCTATCCTCATTGTATATGTGGATGACATTATCCTAACATGAGATTATGAGGAAGAAATCAATACTACCAAAGGTCTTCTAGCTAAGGAATTTGAAATCAAGGACATTGGACAGCTCAAATACTTCCTAGGTATGGAAATTGCAAGGTCAAGAAAGGGAATCTGTGTTTCCCAAAGAAAATACGTATTGGATCTATTAACAGAAACTGGGATGCTTGGATGTAAGCCAGCGGACACACCTATGGATTCAACAACAAAATTAGGCACTAAAGAAAATTGTGCATCGGTGGATAAAGGCAAATACCAAAGGCTAGTGGGTAAACTAATCTACCTTTCTCACACACGACCAGACATTGGTTTTTCTGTCGGCATGGTAAGTCAGTTTATGAACAATCCAAATGAAGAACATATGGAGGCGGTGTATAGAATCCTAAGGTATCTGAAGCTAACACCAGGGAAAGGATTATTTTTTAAGAAGAATCAAAGAAGAGACATAGAGGTGTTCAGTGATGCAGATTGGGCAGGATCAGTACAAGACCGAAGATCAACTTCAGGGTATTGTACTTATGTGTGGGGAAACCTAGTCACATGGAGAAGTAAGAAGCAATCAGTGGTGTCAAGGAGCAATGCAGAAGCTGAATTCCGGGCAATGGCCCATGGTATTTGTGAGGGAATATGGCTAAGAAGGGTACTAGAGGAATTAAGAATTTCTAGTGAAGAACCTATGAAGATGTTCTGTGATAACCAATCAGCAATCAGCATTGCCAAGAATCCAGTCCATCATGACAGAACTAAGCATGTGGAGATTGATCGGCACTTCATAAAGGAGAAGATAGAGGAAGGGATGATCAAAATGCTATATGTACCCACATGTCTTCAAACAGCCGACATTCTTACTAAGGCTCTACCAAGAAAGACTTTTGATGATCTAAGTTCCAAGCTGGGGTTAATTAACATTTACCATCCAGCTTGAGGGGGAGTATAGAATTATTTGGAGTTTAGTTTGAATGCATATTTGTTTGCGTGTTAAAGGGCCGAAATTAAGGAAATCCAGAGTTAAACAGATCAGTATTTTGTTCCATATTTTTAGGGGATTCTGGTAGCTTGTTACCATATCTGTATATATTTATTTCCTGTTTATTTCTTTCTGTTTTAGATAGATTTGACCCTATTCTAGGTAAGTTGTATATATCCCTAGAAATTAGGTGTTTCAGCATCTATATATAGGGAACGTGTAACCTGTTTTAATATATTGAAAATAATAAAGAATTCCTCTACTTTCAGCATCTTCACTGACTGGTAACACTGGATACCATATCACATATAAAAAAGCACTATCCCAGCAGAATAATTAACAAACAAAATAAAAATAGGTTGAAACAAAAGAACAATAAAAAATATTTGTTGACTGAGAGAATTTTGCTCTTTTTCCCCTCAAACATTAAACATCAATTTATATTTTGCACGAATGCTAGCACTTGCCTTGAACATGGTATATGATTTAAATGCTTGTTCAAAGATGCTTACAACATGGACAAGTGACAACTTTTGACAGCATCCAGTGATTAAGAAATTGTAAACCATGGCTTATGAACCTTTAATTCACTTTGTTCTCCTTTGTCTCATTGTATATTCATGAAGCCAAAAAGGATTCAGTATTCATTTAAAATGCCTAATCTGCTTTATTGGAATTTCTCAAACCATAACTATAAACATTATATTCACATGAAGAAGAAATTTTAACATAGCATTCATTCTCAAACTAAAAGAGTTCTACTTTTGTTTTGTTCCATAGCTAACATTCAAAATAGACAATAAATCTCTTAAAAGTATAGAGGAAGGCAAAGTATATTTCACCATAGAAAAATATCTTACCTAGACCAAAATCTCCAATTTTAATGTCATTGCGAGCATCAAAAAAGATATTGTTTGGAGTTAAGTCTCGATGGATGATTCCTTGTCCGTGTATATGTGCCAAGCCTTCCACAACTTGGCGAAACAGGTGCCATGCTAATTCTTTGTCAAAATGGTTATAAGATTCAAAGACTTGCCGAAGAGTCCTTCAGTGCATAGAATGAATGAATTTGTAGAAGAGAGAAAAAGTGGGTGGGGATGTTAGGAATTATAAAGCCAAAAGAAAGCATTTCAAATCTAACTTGATAAATAGAAGTTATAGAGTATCAAATCATAGAAAAGCACTCAGATATGTTTGTGTATTCGAAAATGCATACATGAGTGTAACTGTGTGTGTATACATTTATTTATATGCCAATTCAAGAAAAGATGTCAAACATAGAGCATAAGAATTTGAATATGTTTTCTGTGAATATTGGGAAGGTAATAGATGTTCAACTGAAACACTGCAGGTCAATTACATGTTTCAAGAAGACAAATAATTCAAAATAAATCCTATTCAAATGATAATTCCAATGATTTTCCTTTACCCATACACAGAGAGCGTGTATTTCAAGGACTCTCAATTACTTCAGAAAGATGATCAATGGAAAATAAGTTACAAATGGCATAATCCACCAAATAACAACATTCCAGAAAATAACAGTAGTGGCAATGGTTTTCAACAGCTTCAAATTACTTCACTTCTTTTAATCTTATTTATTTATTTATAAAAATAAAAGGCTTTTTTTTAGAATTATAAAAATAAAAGATAAATATGTACAACATGAATCAGTCAGGAATCAGGATACTAATAGAAGGCAAGTAAATCTGATACCTGGGGCAATATTCCATTTGAATATATAGATACGTTGATTCAAGTTTGTTCTCCTGTCCAGGGACATCAGTCAAGCCCGCACCCTTACCGAATGTGGAGCTTGTTGCAGTCCCTGAACCCCATGTGCTATCACCAAAAGAATTATCAACTCCTGTTTCGAACCAAGCCTGGAGATTCACAAATACGTAAAACTTAAAATAAGTCCAAATTGGGTGCATTATTTTTCATAATCCTAAAGCTTTCTGCTCTTTATATTCCTAATATCTCCTCCTTTTATAAAGCAATTAAGCAGTCAATTTATCATCTTTCTATAAGACCCAGGTAAGAAAAAATTGTTAGAAATTGTAGGCTAGGCAGAGACTCGACAATTTCAAAAGATGGTGAGAGAAAGAAAATTGTAAAAGGCTTCAGAGAGATACCTGATAGTAGCGAACAACATGTTGATGCTGTAAACGAGAAAGTGTAGCTACCTCCCTAAGTACGTCACAGTAAACAGTATCGATTCATTAGCACATATTAAACAATATGTAGTAAAAGATGAAAGAATTGCATCTAAACCTCAGATACTGAAAAAATAACCAAAATTAAGGGCTGTATCAAAATCTGATGCCATAAAGCAATTTATTAATGAAAAAGGTGACTAACTACATATATAAGATTGGAATAGAACAACTAAAAGAGATGAGAGAGAGTGTCAGAGAGAAAGAGAGAGAGAGAGAGAGTGTCATAGGCGGTCAGTCCTCCGGTGAGGTTTGGACGGTGTTTGTCAACTATCTGAGTAAGAGGGTAACTTGGAGAACAGTAAAGGAAAATTTTCAACAACAAGGTAGCGTTATACGAGTTTACATCCCGAGTAGCTCCAACAAGCAGAACTATAGAAACCATACGTTTGCTTTCGTTCAGTTTGCGAAGGAGGATGGGCTGAAGAAGGCGATAGCAAATGTGAATGGTATTTGGATAGATGGAAAGAAAGTCTCAGTTGGAGTAGCTAAGTACCAGAAGCAGAGTTTCAGGCAAGCTGCTAATAGTAATGTCAGAAGGGTAGAGGATAAGGGGAATAAGGGAGAGACTTCGAGAAGAAGAGCTGGATCAGAGTCGTTCAGTAGATTGAGGGATGAGAGATCGTTTAAGGATGCGTTAGTCTCTTATGATGAGCGAAGGGAAGTTCAGGCGAGTAAAATGATTAAGGAGGGTTATCCAGGAAAGGAAGCAGGGCTGAGGAATATGTGGGAGATGCATATCCCATTAGAGGAATATGATTGGGTTAAAAGATCATTGACTGGAATCATCAAATCCCATTTTGATTTGGAGTTAGTGGTGAAGGGGTTGGCTAGTGATGGAATCATGGTCAAGGGAGCTAAATGGGGTTATACCTGGAACTTGTGTATCTTAACCTTCGGGTCGGTGGAAGAATTAGAGAAGGCAAGGTCGAGCAGAGGGGAGGAACTGTCTTTTTGGTTTGATTGGCTTGATCCACTTATGAATGAAGAAGGTGTTCCAATGGCATTCTGTTCAGTTGAATTGGTTGGAATCCCCTTATTATGTTGGAATATTCCTTTTTTGGAAAAGTTACTTTCAAGGTGGGGGAAGCTGGTGCATATTCATGAGGCGACGGCCAAAAGGGAGGATATGGCGGTGGCTAGGGCTCTGCTGAAGGTGGCCAGCCCGTTTGACATACAGGAAAATGTTACTTTGGGGTCGTATGGGAGATCTTTTAAGGTGAAAACTAATGTGGGGTCGGTTAGCATCAAACAGGAAAGCTTTGCAGCAAAAGATTCTACGGTGGCCGGCGATGGTGTGCCCAGTATCGAAGTATTATCAGAGGAGGAAGATAGGCTTTCAGGCGGAGTTGGTAATCCAGATTTGATAGCTGAGGATTCTAGGGACACCGTAGACAGGTGGTTGGTAGGGGGTCACTGTACATCATTGGCAAGCGGTAAAGGGGGAGAGCATTTATTGTCGCATGAAGGAGAAGGTCAAACTAGTGGTGCTAAGATGTCAGACTCACCAGATGAAAGTTTGAAATTTAAAGGGGATTATAGGGGTCTTGGACTAAGAAATGATTATTTAAATGAAAGTGATGAAGCCCTCTGTGGACTTGAGTGAGCCCACCCCAAACAACACTAGATTTTATCCATCTGGGCCTGCTGTTAATCTAATCAATTTGGGGTATGGTAAGGTTAATGAATCTCAGCTGGAGGTTTTGGAGGAGCTGCAGCAAATTGGTTTGGCTGAGTCTAATGTGCATAATGTGGCTAATGTTTCTTCTGTTTTAAACTCAATTTCGATTCCTGGTGGGGTCAGAGACAGAATTCAGCCTCTGATTAGAGGAACTTCTAAAAAGTCAAACGAGGATATGATAGACGAAGTGGCAGACCTGAACAAAGAAGTTAGAAGCGAAGAAGCAGAGGAGGTTCCGGAAAATATGTCGATTCATGCAGTCAGAAACTAGGGGAGAGGATGTAATAAGGAGTCTCTTGCAATTGGTTTTAGGAGTTGGAGTCCTTTCAATCACTTGTCTAGAAGTTTGTATATAGGAGGGTGGAAAAGAGGTTCAATTTCTAGAGTATATAGAAGATCTAGAGAAAGCAAGGTGTGGATTATTCCGTGCAGCGAAAAGGGGACATTGCAACCTAAGGAGTCGGATGATCAAATCAGGACCAGATTTAATCCTATTTCGAGTAATATACCTACTCATAATTCCTCGGGGAGAATTCCAAATGGGACTCAGGATGAAGGTGGTTTTAGCCACAACTCGGAAGTAGATCAGCCACAGTTTTCAGGGGTGTTGGAGGTGAAGCAATAGGGAACCAGCCTGGATCAATGGCAAGGAATGGCAGTAGAAGAAAGAGAAGGCTTTTGATTAGGGAAGCACTGGATGTGGCTAGTCTCTCTACTGTTTATTCTTCAAATTTCTCCTTATTTTTGGAAGAGGCTTTGGCTACATGGGAAGTTAGTAAACTGTTGGGGATCTCATTCAAAGAGGGGAAGGACTTCCTGGAAAAAATAATTAATCTGGAAGAGGGCTTGGTCAAATGTAGGGAAGGGATGGATCAGGGGGAATAGGGATCTTTTGGCGGTTGGGTTCTGAGTTTTTGGTTTTCACAATTGTCTCATGGTTCAGATTAAGATTATTTCATGGAATATTAGGGGTATTGGTAAAAAAGAAAAATCAAGAGCCATAGCTAATATGGTCAGGAAGTATAAACCAGGCATTCTACTCATTCAAGAAACAAAGTTAGAAAATTGTTCTCAGACTCTTAGGAGAAAGATAGGTGGAAGTCTTCTTAATGGATGGATTTTCGCTCCAGCAGTGGGGTCTGCATATGGATTAATGGTGTTGTGGGATGAGAAGGATTTCGATGTTTCTAACAGACATTTAAGTGGCAGATTCATTGCTATATTTGGAAAATTTAAGAATTCTAGTGAGGAATGTGTGATTATTAATGTTTATGGTCCTTGCATTGACTCTGAAAAGGAGGATTTTTTCAGGGAGTTGCTGAATTTTGTTACTACTCAAACCGCATCAGTTTGCATTGGGGGCGATTTTAATGTGTACCTCGATCCGGTAGAGAAGTTGGGAAAGTCTCAGAACTGGTTATCTATAAATATTCTAAGAAATTTTCTGAATCAATCTAACTTAATCGATCTGCCTATGGTCGGGGGAAGGTTTACCTGGTGTAATAATATAGAAGCCTTTACTTGGGTCAGATTGGATAGGTTTTTAATTTCTGGGAATTTTCTGATTAGTTTTCCTAATGTTGTGCAAAAACTATTACCCAGATCATTATCTGACCACAATCCCGTATCTTTGGAGGATAAACCTGTAGACTGGGGTCCCAAACCATTCAGGTTTTTCAATTATCTCCTAGAGGAAGAGGGCTTCGAGGAATTGGTTAAATCATCCTTGGAGAATTTGAGGGGGAGTAGAGAGAGAAGGGGATTATTCAGTTTTCTGCAAGGCACAAAAAAATCGATCAAAACCAGGTCAGGCAGTAAATTTAAAGGGATTTCTGGGTCTATTGCTGACTTGGAATTGAAGATTAATGATCTTGAATTTAAGGCTCAAGCTGATGATATTTCCTAATAGGACTGGGAGCAGTTACTGCAGTTAAGATCGAATCTTTGGAAGCTATATAGGATTGAAGCATCTGGTTTCAGAAATCTAGGGTGAGATGGATTAAAGATGGGGACAGAAATACAAGATTCTTTCATCTGTCGGCACTGAACAGAAGTAGGAGGAATGAAATTTCTAGCTTGAAGATTAATGGCTCTGAAGTATCAGATCCCTGAATTTTGTTACTACTCAAACCGCATCAGTTTGCATTGGGGGCGATTTTAATGTGTACCTCGATCCGGTAGAGAAGTTGGGAAAGTCTCAGAACTGGTTATCTATAAATATTCTAAGAAATTTTCTGAATCAATCTAACTTAATCGATCTGCCTATGGTCGGGGGAAGGTTTACCTGGTGTAATAATATAGAAGCCTCTACTTGGGTCAGATTGGATAGGTTTTTAATTTCTGGGAATTTTCTGATTAGTTTTCCTAATGTTGTGCAAAAACTATTACCCAGATCATTATCTGACCACAATCCCGTATTTTTGGAGGATAAACCTGTAGACTGGGGTCCCAAACCATTCAGGTTTTTCAATTATCTCCTAGAGGAAGAGGGCTTCGAGGAATTGGTTAAATCATCCTTGGAGAATTTGAGGGGGAGTAGAGAGAGAAGGGGATTATTCAGTTTTCTGCAAGGCACAAAAAAATCGATCAAAACCAGGTCAGGCAGTAAATTTAAAGGGATTTCTGGGTCTATTGCTGACTTGGAATTGAAGATTAATGATCTTGAATTTAAGGCTCAAGCTGATGATATTTCCTAATAGGACTGGGAGCAGTTACTGCAGTTAAGATCGAATCTTTGGAAGCTATATAGGATTGAAGCATCTGGTTTCAGAAATCTAGGGTGAGATGGATTAAAGATGGGGACAGAAATACAAGATTCTTTCATCTGTCGGCACTGAACAGAAGTAGGAGGAATGAAATTTCTAGCTTGAAGATTAATGGCTCTGAAGTATCAGATCCGCAATCAATTAAGTTTCATATTGCGGATTATTTTAAGGAATCCTACAGTTCTAAGACAACATTGGAAGTAGAGGACTTATCTCTGGATTGTGCTAAGTTAACAGGGGACCAATCTTCAAAACTTGAGGAGCAGTTTTCAGAACAAGAAATATGGCAAGCGATAGCTTCATCGGACAGTTCTAAAGCACCAGGCCCCGATGGCTTCACCATGGGTTTTTTCAAGAGATGTTGGCCTAGTTTAAAGGAGCATGTAATGATGTTTTTCCAGGATTTTTACTCTGGTAGAAAATGGGAACATGGGGTTAATCATGCGTTTATTACGCTTATTTCGAAGAAGTTGAATCCGAAAAGTGTGGAGGATTTCATACCAATCAGCCTTGTAGGTAGCCTATACA